GTGTGCCCCTCGGCAGCCGGGCTGCGGCGCCCGCCAGCTGCCATTTGGCAAAGCCAACCGGTTGCTGAATATAAAGCAACGCTTTGCTGAAGAAGAGGAGGCTGCTGCGGGCTGAGCCGGAGCCGGAGGAGGGCAGGGGGTGACAGCTGCAGGGGGCTCGGGCACGAGTCACGGCAACGGGGGAACCGGTGCTGGAGGGAGTGGGAGAGCGGGGCTGGCCGTGGGGCGGCGACAAGGCTCGGGAAACGGCTTTCATTTCCATATTTATATAAACGCATCCAAGTTTAGTCCTTCTTTTAGGGTTTTTTTTTCCTTCAAAAATGGAAATTTCCATGAAAACATGTTCAATTTTTGTCCCTTCAGTTTTACTAATATCCCCATGAAAAGGTTCATCTGGTTTTGCTTCACTTCCAGTTTCTGGTCTGCTGGGCCGATGCCGGGTTCGCGCAGTCAGCCTAGCCATAGCATTGCGTCTGCGTTCTTTTTTTTTTAATTAAAGCAGCTGCATTCTGAATTTTTACAAAAAGAAACAGTTGAGGGAAAGTCTTAGTCCCCCCAAAGAAAGAGGAAAAGTAGGCAGGAGCACCTCTGGGTGCTTGGAGAGCAGCAGTTGTCCTTCGCCACGTTTCCAGTCCTGCCATATGGGACTGGAATGTCCCGCTGTATGTATGTCGGGCTGGGAAGGGGCAGGCGGTGGCCGCTGCAGGGGCTCCCCATCCCGCTGCTCATTAGTGGCCTCTGTGGGGAAAAATGCAGCAATGTGCCAAAATCCCGTGTTTTCACACAGTTCAAGCCCCTTGGGAGTGCCCGTGCGCTCTGGCTGCCAAGGGGTTAATGCGGCCGGTGAGATGCTGCTGAGCTGGCGGTGGAGCTCCCGGAGGCTGCACCCAGGAGATGTGTTTGCACAGGCAGGCTGAGTGCTCCCCTCCTTCCCAACCACCCTTCAAAGAGCCGCGCACGCCCAAGGCTGCTCCAAACCCCGGGCAGGAGCTGGGTGCAGGACGGCGCCCTGCAGAGAGGATGGGGCAGGGGGATGCATCATCTGGGGCCAGCGGGGCTCTGGGCTGGGGGGAGGCGAGAGCGGGGTGGGGTGGAGGGATAGTGGCTGCCTCTCCTCCGTCGGGATGGACCGGCCGCCTCCACCCCGCCGGCTGGAGGGAGTCGGAATGGGGATGGGGTGGGATGGGGATGATGGAGGTGGGATGGGATGGAGATGGGGATAGGATGAGGATGGGGACGGGATGCATTGGGACAGGACGCGCAGGATTAGCGGTACCTGGCAGCGTCTCCAGCTCCACAGGGAGAGGGAAGGGAAGAAGCCCAGTGGCAGGAAAGGGGATGGACATATCAGCAAACCTCCATGGTGGGAGGGCGGCAGGGCATCCTTGGCACCTTATGCCGGGGAGAGGATGCTCTGGACCAGGGGCTGTATCTCATGCCAGGCAGTCATGTCCTTTCTCCTTCCAGGGGTCCGAGGACGTGTGGTTTTGCAGAGGTTTCTCCCCCCCTGCAGAACCAGCACGCGATGGCCCAAAGGAGCCGCACGGCGCCTGTTGGGGGTCTCCATGATCTATGGCCATGTCCGCAGGAGGGTCCCTGCCCACAGACCCTGGTGTCGGGGAGAGGGTGGCTTTGGGGACACCCTGATGTCAGGGAGGGGGTGGCCCTGCAGATACCCTGTCCCAGCCAAAAGCAGTTTCTGTGTGGCTGCAGGAGCGAGCGCTGGGGCCCACAGGGACAGGGCACGTTTGCAAACACAACCCTAAATGTAAATCAGCTCTCCTTACCACGGTATTTATAATCCTTATCTAAAAATAACCCCAAATTCAGCTTCCCAAAGGACGGCAACTGAGCATCCCCCAGACCCCAGCTTGTGTGTGAAACTGTCCCAGTAATTTTGGGATCTCTGCAATACGTAATTCGCAGCCCCGCTGGTTTTGCATGCAAGGCACTGCTGCAAGCTCCCTGAGGCCCATGCAAGCTCCGTCCCCTGGGAGGAGGGGGGACCTGCCGCAACCCCCCAGGGACATGCTGGTTCTCCCTGAACCCCGTGGGGCAGCTGCCCGTCCAGTGTGTTTGGCGTTTGGCATCAGACCTCAGGTGCCCATCCTGGGGCAGTCCCATGCTGGGACGCAGAAACTAAATATCTGCGGTTAGAGCTGGAGCGGGTGTGGGGAGAGCAGGAGGCATTTCTGGAGAGGCAGCCGGGTGATGGAGAGGAGCCGCTGGGGATGAAGGTCTCCATCAGGCGGCCAGACCCGAGCACGGCAGCAGGAGAGCAGCTTGGCTCCCCAAAGCCCTGCAGGAACAAACCTTGGGGTAGCCAGGAACCCAGACATCAGCCGAGGAGAGACATCCGAAGAGGATCCTGAGGCCCCCGGGAGAGGACTGGGACTGCTCCCCTCCCCGGGAGCTGGTGGGAGAGCCCCCAGGATGGAGCGGGAAGGTCCCACCCAGAGCTCCTGCTCCCCTTGGGTTGTCCCCAGGCACCGGGGAGCGGAGCCATGCAGTGGTTCCCACCTGGGAAAACATCATCAGCAAAGCAGAGAGTGTTCAGCACCCAGAAGCCTGACACCCCCTCACCCTCAGAGAGGGAAAAACGCCGAGGAAAAGGGAAAAAACTGAATAGAGAGGAGGGCAGGGAGGGAGAAACCCTTTCTGGAGGGCCACGTTTCTGCCAAGCTGGAGAAACCTGGGGAGGGAGGCAGGGTCCCCACGGGGGGCTTTGCCATCGCCCCCTGCCCTGGGCGAGGGGTTCGGGGCACGGGGCTCAGGAGTGCAGTGGGGTCTCTGGGGGGAGGAAGGGACAGATCCCTCCTCCCAGCTATGGGAGCACGCAGAGTCATGCCTGTGGGGCTGAACACGTGTGCCAGCGTGGGGGTGGGCACGGGAAGGGAGGGCAGGTCACACTGCGGCGCCCATAGGGACACGTACGCTGGCGCAGGCGGGAGCGAGGCGGGGGCGCGCAGCCGCCCACGGGCGTCGTGGGTCTCTGGTGTGGGGGGCTCCCGCCTGCGGGGCTCCTCCTCTCACCCTTCGGCTCTAAGGGGCTGCTGGGGGCTGGCAGCAAAAAGCCAGAGGAGGAGAGCACTCCCCCGAGCATCCGGCTGCACCGGCCCCCACAGCAGCCCCCTGCCTCCCGGCATGGCCCCGGGGATGGCGAATGAAGCCCCCTTGTGCGTGGGAGTGGGATGGGGAGGAGACGTGCACGGGCAGGGAGGCGTTTTGGGGTCCATCATTTCCCCAGGGCACAGATCGCGCACGTGCATCGCCCTCACCCCAGGTGAGGGTGCCTGGTGTGCTCTGCCCGTGCGGCGGCGTGGCCAGGGTGGGTCGGGAGGCCACCAGCCCTTGGGAACCGTGGCCCTGTCCCTGTGCCCATGGGTGGGAATCACGTCCCTGCCCTGCCACCAGGACCACAGGGTCCCCTCCGGCTGGGCCATGCAGGAGCGGGAGGCTGGATGCGGGGATGCAAGGTGGGGATGAAGGTGGGTAACGGTACAATTAATGGAAAAGCCATTAGACCTTTCTCCTCCTCCCCCTCTTCTTCCTCACTCCGCCACTTGCTGTCCTCCTCCACTTCCACCTCCTTTCTTCTCTCCCTCTCTCTGCTCCTCCTTCTCTCTCTCCTCTCAAAGATTTCTCCCTATTTTTGTCTGGTTAGAGCCTTTTCTTTTCCTTTTAACCCTTCCATGGCAGCCTGAAGGGGAACTCAATCCATCTCAGCTGCCAAAGGCAATGCCCTCATGGCTGGCAGGGGGAGCCCCTTCTCCCAGGGCGGCGGGGGCTCTCTCTGCTGCAAAATCATCCAGAAACAGGACAAAAGCTTAGAAGAAAGCTCTGCTGGGGGGGTGTCAGAAGGTGGGAGGGTGCAAGGGGTGGTGTAGATGGAGGAGGGGGTGCTGGGTCCCCAGTGGGTGCTGCCAGGGGTGCTGGCAGCAAGGTGGGCTCAGAGGGAAACCACTCCCCCGTGGTCTTGGACCGCGTCACTCCACTTTTATTGCCCTTTTTGTGCTTTTTTATGTTAAACGCAGCAGAGGGGTGGCTCAGCAGAAAAAGCCTGAGGAGGAGGGGGGCAGACCTTCCTCCCACCCCCGCTCTGAAATCTCCCCCCTTTCTGCCCCAGGGAAACGGCAGCCCAGGACACAGCCTTATTGCTCCCTCTCTAGCTGTGCTTTACGCCAAGCCGCTCGCCCCATGGCACGGGGGACCCAGGGGACCTGTTCCCCCGGCAGCCCCGGGCCCGCGGGGA